CCCCCCCTGCCACATTCTTCAGCCCAGGTGGGGATGACACTGGCCAGCAGACAAGGGTAGGAAATAGCCCAGGGTGGGGAGCAGGAGGTGTTCTGGTGGGCTTCGGGGGGGGTGGGGGGCGGAACTCCCTGCCCAGCCAGTGGTGGGAAACACCTACCACCGATAGGGCCCTGGGCTGGGGCCCAGTGAAGAGGGAGGGCCTGGGCCTCCCTACCACCTCCTTCTTTACCCACCCCCAGAGAGGGTAGCTATTCTCGTGAACTATAGACTCGGCCTCAGGGCCATTATCTACCCCAGACAGGGGGCGCTATAGACTCAGCCGCTGGACCATATTTATCCTCCACCGCTGGGGCGCTATAGACTTGGCTACTGGGCCATATTTGCCCCACTGACAGCGGTGCTATAGACTCGGCCATGGGGCCACATTACCCCCCCTCAACCAGGGTGTGGTGAACTAGGCCAGGGCCCGAATGCCCAGACTAGAAGGACGTTAGCCAAGGATAACTCATGGGGGTGAAGCTTATCTGCCCGGCCCTACAGGGGGCCCGGGTAGACCGCCCGTGACACTCACATAACTGCAAGGATAAATTAACTATGTATGGCCCCATTAGTATTGATTTGGAGTGCTTCACTATCTTTAGAGAGACAAGATGGGTGAGGTAATACCGTTTATTGAGCCATCTTCTGTTGATGAGAGAAACAAACTTTGAGGTTACACAGAGCTCTTCTTAAGGCCTTTAATAAAGTTCTTCACAATATCCATGTGAGATAGGGAAGTACAATTTCTTAATTTCACAGATGGAGAACTAACCTACAGAGACTGTGACCTAACACTGTCAAACAGCAGGCCTGTAATGGAGCAGAGAAATTAAGTTCAAGCACCAAGCTATTGTGCTAACTGCTGGACCATCCTTTCTCTTACTGTGCATTAAGATGCCTCCCGGATAAGACATTTTTAGAACTGCTAAATATTAATGTTAAAATTGACAGAAATTTGACTTTGCCTTAGGAAGCACTATTATTTCAAAACTAAATAGTTTTCAAAGAGGAGATACAGTGAAGAAGTGCTTACCAAAGTCCAGGTCATTAATGTTACACTGGAAAACAGACTCTCCATTCACTATGAGTTCTACAGTATTCCAATCTGGTATCTTTTCTAGAATAAGTTGGTGTCCATCTGCTTGCAACACAGCTACAAAAAAGTCAGAAAAGCCACATGCAATAACTGTCATTTGCTTGGTTTTCAACTTAGTATTTCTAAATTCTGGTATTCGTGAGCACAAGGATTTGCTAATAAGGCATAGTACAGACAAACACTGTGCAAAATTTCTAAAATAATTCAGCTAAATCTAATTTGTAGTTTCACTGCTGTTACAGTAATGGGCCTGCTTTGATTGAAAAACACTATCTCAATTATAATCTTGCATTTAAAAAAAAGGTAAGAAGCTCACTACTCATTTAAAAATGCTATTAATTGGCACAACAGCCATGAGGAACATACTTGATTAACCTGCAGATACTTTCAGAAGAAATTCTCTGTGAAATGTTAAGACAATGTTATAATGCAACTGGAGGAGCAGGCAAGCAACCTTTAACTGCGTTGTTAATTGATCTGAAAGATTGCTTACAAAATTATTTTTCAATATAACTGAATATTTTTGAGATTCTTCTGAAGTAGTCGGAGAATGTGACCAGATAGGTCATCTCTATGCTTTTCAAAAACTTGACTTGAGAACCATTCTGATCCATATTAGCTACATGTTTTTACAAATTGGGAGGAAATTTACTTATTACAGCACATTATACAATGCTGTCTTAAATTCAGAAAAACTTAGGAAATAAGAGGACTGATTATTAATACATTTCTAGCATACATAATTTGTGTATTATACTGGTTTGGACCTTCATATGCTTTGTAAATGGCATTTTACACTGCATGTGCATGATGGATGTAAAAATTCATTTAACTATGTAACCTTTAAAAATCATAGTGATTACACACGCTACAGGCTCAGCAGTATAACGCTTAAATAAGCTTTACACTGCAGAGAAGCCTCTCTGGGAGCGGGGCTGCAGCCAGCTCCTCTGGAGTTCTCCTCAGAGAGCCAGCCTATAACCAGTGGTGGGGGGAGGGGGCAGGTTGGGTCTGCAATTGACAGGGGCTGCTCCAGGAGGCCCTCTGGGGCTGGAGCAGACCCCTGCCCAGGACAGGTGGAGAAGTGTTACAGCCCCTACCTGTTAACTGGTTACCATTTACATCCCTAGCGTGCATGTGTGTTTTTGGCCATCTAAGCAAAATCCTGCAGTAGTTTACCACTAATTACTTATCAGTAGAAAACAAAAAGAGTATGAACTAATATTAAGATATTTTATTTTCATTTAATGCACTGCCCAGGGAAAATACACCTATTGTAGACATCTTACTAACTTACTAATGCAAAACAGTACTTTTCAGCTCAGTGTTCCAATCTCTGTTTCTTTCAGAAAAGTAGCCAGAAATAGAAACTTTCTGGATCAAATTACTATTTCAGTTATGACTTTTGAGTGTTGGTATGTGTCCACTTTATTGTTTAATCAGTTTAACATAACTAGAGCTAACTGTGAAAAATATTATTACAGAATTGTAATTTAACTTTTAAAAAAACTAAAAGTGGCTCAGCAAGGAGTCCACTTAATAAGGAAGCACTCCTTGAGCATCCAGCAGTTTGACAGCTTGGGAGAGGCTTCATTAGATACTTTTGAATGCTTTCTGGAGAGTTTTAATGGTAGTCTGTGGTAATTGGCTCTGTGACATTCATATTTACAAAATATAAACTAATTTTAGTATGTGGTATTCCACTTCTCTACTGTCCACTCTCATATTTATCTAATGTCCTCTGAATTAATTTCCAAAAGGGATAGCTCAATGAGGGAATTGCTGAAAGAATCTATGGCTGTGTCTACACTGGGCCACTTTTTCCGGAAAAGCAGCCGCTTTTCCGGAATAAGCTGCGAGCTGTCTACACTGGCCCCTTGAATTTCCGGAAAAGCACTGATGATCTACTGTAAGAAATCAGCTGCTTTTCTGGAAAAACGATGCTGCTCCCGCTTGGGCAAAAGTCCTTTTTCCGGAAAACTGTTCCGGAAAAGGGCCAGTGTAGACAGCACAGTAGTGTCTTCCGCAAAATAGCCTCGATCGTGAAAACAACGATCGGGGCTTTTTTGCGGAAAAGCGCGTCTACATTGGCCACGGACGCTTTTCCGGAAAAAGGGCTTTTCCGGAAAAGCATCCTGCCAATGTAGATGCTCTTTTTCCGGAAATACTTATAACGGAAAACTGTTCCGTTTTATGCATTTCTGGAAATTCATGCCAGTGTAGACATAGCCTATTAGTTTAGGATCCGTTTCTGCTAAACCACCCCCATGTGTGTTTCTCACATATTCCAATGATTTCAGTAGAACGCTTCACATTAGTAAACACAACACACACAGGAGTTTGCTGAATCAGACCCTTAATGTTAATAAATGGAAATAAATACAACTTACCCCCATCAGCTTACTTTATGAGCTAGCAAGGATTTTAAGTACTCGTTGCTAGGAAGTCAGAGGTAAGTATCTATTCTGTTCTCTATCTAGCCTACACAGTGATTCCCGAGCAAGGAGCGTGGGGGTACAGATGTGTCCCAGGGGCTGCACCCACGCCTCTAGTTTCAGAGCCGCTTACGCGAAAAGCACGAGCAGAGTCAGTACACACTAACATTCCACGCAGAGGGATGAGCGCAGCGTGGGATACTTTTGCGTGAGTTTATAATCCAGTATTTTTAACTGACTTGAACTGGAGGTACCCAAGTCAGCAGAGTCTTGAAATGGTTCCTGTCAGCTGGGACTACGGGGAGCCGTTATTTAACTTCCAGTATTAGCTGAAGTACGATGGGGGAGGGGCAGCCGCTCCCCCGGGGCCGCCCACGCACCCTGC